TCTTTTTCTTTTTATGTGAGGAGGGGGTTGTTTTTTGTCGTTTACCTCATGCATTCCAGCTACCAATCCTTCACTTTTCTCTATCGTTTACAAGGATGGATAAACAGTGTTGGCAGAGCGGGGTCATCTCCCCTCAGGGTTATTTTTAGGACCAGAAGACTATATGCTTATGGAGTGTTTTAAGAGAAGAAGAAAAAACACGCCAAGAAATGACTTTTTTTTTTTTCTAATTTTCTCATCTAGTTTCAAATTCGAAGCACAGCTCACTTTAATTTCCATCCCTGGATGTTGGTGATTCTCTGCAGACAAAGAAGAATTGATATTTTTTTTCTCATCCATTCATCGAATATTTTCCTCTGTTTTCTTCACAGATTTCGTTAACAAATATTTAGACTCAACGAAAAAAAAACATTCACACAGCACAGAAAAGCATACGCGTATTGTGTGGTTCATACTTGACCACAGGGGCAACTCAAACACTTTCCCTTCGTTTTTCATGCTTCAAATCGTAAAATACGATTTTTTAAAAACCCCGTTCCATTTAAATTAGGATTGGATATTTGTTCACTGGAGGCATTTTAGTGCGACTTTCAATTTGATACACTTCCAACAGCCATATTTTTTTTTCTTTTACCTTTTGGTCTCAGGAGATGAATTTCCCGTTTACTTCTGAGGGAGGAAGAGAAAGAAAAGCGACGAAAGTAAACTTTATGGGCGGTAAATCACGTAGTGGTAGTCTAACTATCCGGCCAAGGCTCCTGCACCGGGAGTAAACAGGGTGAAAATATCTGAATGAAATATCAGTGACGTCAGAGAGAGCGAGAGGAGAGGGGGGAGGTTAGAGAAGAAGCGCTTGTACCGCCGGTGCGCCAAAAACTGCGCACAATGGGGCCACGCATCTATATCGCATTCTTCCAATTTATTTTTGGATTATTTTGTCGTGTTGTTCTGCGGGGCTTCAGCGGGTCAGTATGACTGTTTTTTCTTGCTCCTGGATTCACTGAACCTTCTGAAGTTTTAGTCAAACAAATGGAGAAGCTGAGCATCCACCCACAATGTAATCGATAGATCTGCTAAACCAACGCTAATACTCCTTAAATATCATAATATAAAGCTTAAAGTGGTTAACGGAGATCCTGTGATGATGGATCTTGTTTGCTTAATTGCCGTTTTCCGGTTTCCCCCATGTATTGAGGAAAGTTCCCTTTAAAGACTTCCAGTTGTAGTTATACAAATAACTGTGTAATGCGTAATTTCCCTTAAAACAAAACGATAAGCAATCTTTTGGGTGCATTTGTGCGCATCTTTAGCGTCAAATCGGTTTTGATTACGTTTGATTAAAGAACCAATCCATCAAGTCTTCACGGTGGGTAACGTCGGTCATTTCAGGTCAGGGAATGGTAGTGGGAGGGGGG